TCGAACTTTCGAATCCTGAAAAGTCAGAAGGTCGACGAACTTCGAACTTTTAGGATAAAAGTTCGACGTTCGTCGAACTTCGAAAGACCGGCGGACGGTTTCATTTGAATTCAAGTAGTGAGGTATATTCGTAATTTTTTTCTTTTCGATCATTTACACGCGGTGCTGCGTTCCTTACGAAAGACAATGCCGTTTGTTTCAATGTTCTGGCATGCTTAGTTTTAAAGAAATAAATTCCCGAAGGGGCGAGGAAGGACGACGGGTTTTTGACGATCGTCGTTTGTGCCAGATTTGAAGCGCGCTGTAGCCGAAGCTATTTATGGTAGAGGTGTTATTCAACGTGAGTTTTGAAGAAATGTCCAAACATGTATCTACATGCAATTATGCCCTAACTTGATATTTATTTTCGTCTAAGTTGTTTGAGGTATCGCATTTAAATTAACACCACGGACAGTACATATCATTGCCATCTGCAGAATACAAAATAATGTATTTTTTGTTTTTTTTTTCACGTAATTAACTCATGGGAGAAGATTTCTAATAGTGTTCAAGTTCAGCACGTCATTAAAAGAAAACTTTTTTTTTTCGCTTCACGTTCCTGGGAAGTATTTCTTTTAGCCCGTACACATTTTGGTAAAAGAAACTTGTTTCGAAGTTCTGAACCTCTAAATATGCAAGAATACAACACTTCCGGTGAATTCGTGATAGTTTTTTTTTTTTCAGCTTTTTATCTCCGCATTTATTTTTATTTATGTATATACTTTTTTTTTTTTTTTACTATTGGCACAGGTATTTAGGTTGAAAAGGCATAGCTTTGAACTTCCGAACCACTAAGCATGTGACGAGTAGTGCCTTCTGACAACTAGTTTCTAACCACTGATCTCAATGACAATCTCAATCTCAATGACTGTCATAGAGATCAGTGTTTCTAACAATGACCATCTACGCAATCTTTTATGCAATGAAGAGCGACAGTAGCTATACATATGCATAAATAATTTCAGATTAAAATTAGCTCGACCACGCCCTCTTTCCCCGTATTGTTTTCTTTTTAACAGTCCGAAATATCTAGAAGAAAACCGAAGCCCCCCCCCCCGCTACCCTCTTTTTCCCGTTTTTCCTCTTCCGACGCCACTTGTATGGTAGAACGCACCTCGACCTCGAGTTGTGTCGGCTTTTTGCGAGGCGATTGCTCCGTTCCTGAAAATAAACCTCCAGGACAATTACAAACTTAACTTACTATATGCCAGCGTCATTCGGGCGGCGTTCGATCGGATTACTACCAGCGTGCAAGGGGTGGCGAGGTAGTTTGCCAGGTCGCTACAAGGTTTTTCTAAGCCTCAACCAACTGTTCGCCCCTGGCCGTTTCGAACTGGATGAGTCTCGTAAAACAGTCTGTTCGTGTGATCACTACTGCGTGATGCAGGTTAAAGTCCCCCTCCCGCCCCCGGGCTGGCGGTCACAATTATTGATCTATGGTCACACGTCACTCTGCACTGCCAAATATTCCAGCACCATCTGGGACACTCGTCGTCTCATCTAATTGCCTGACCAACTTCGCAGAATCTAGATATCACACCCTAACTTTTCTAAACTTGATTTTGTGAAAACCAGCGAGTTGTGAAAACGTTATTTGAAACAAACTGTGGAGGAACTTGAAAACCGGACTTCGAACTTTGAAAACTTGGACTAGAAAGAAATTCAAAATCTTTGAGTTTTTTTTTTTTTTCGAATTTAGCGTTAAAAGAGAATCGAAACCTTCGAACTTTTCGAACTTTATGCGGAAAGAAATTCGAAATCTTCGAATTGTTCGAACTTCATGTCTATAAAAATTCGAAACGTTCGAAGTTTTCGAATTTTATTCCAAAGATTTTCGAAATCTTCGAATTTATCGAACCTGAAGTAAAAAAATATTCAAAATATTCGAATTCGAAATTTTAGAAACCGTGAAAGCTGCAAACCTTTCGAAATCGAAACTCCGCTGAGATGGAAAGTCGCGAATTTTTCGAATTCGAACCTCGGTCGGTACGAAAATATCGAAATTTTTCGAAATCGAACCTCAGTTCGCTTCGCAAATATCGAAACCTTTCGAAATCGAACCTGGGGTGGTTCGCGACATCCCTAGATTATATGCAATGAATGCAAAGGTGCAAGCGAGCTGGACAATAATGATGAAAATACTCCCTGGAGAAGGGGAACAGGGACAAAGGACAAACACAGATCTCCAAACACAACTAGGTGACTGGTGCGCGACCGAAAAAATCCGCCTGGTCGGGGTATCGAACCCGGGACCTCTCCATTACAAGTGGAGCGCTCTACCGACTCGGCTAACGAGGGGTTAGACGTCAGTAGAGCAAACGGGTTTTATCAGTTTTCAATTAAATGAAAAAGTGCAAGCGAGCTGGACAATTATTGTCCAGCTCGCTATTGTCCGCCTGGCCCGGGTTCGATACCCGGACCAGTTGGATTTTTTCGGTCGCGCACCAGTCACCTAGCTGTGTTTGGAGATCTGTGTTTGTCCTTTGTCCCTCTTGTTCCCCTTCTCCAGGGATTATTTTCATCACTACTGTCCAGCTCTCTTGCACCTTTGCGTTTAATTGCATATAATCATAACCTTAAATTGCAAGCCTCGCCCTTGTTGGTGTTAGACTGGTGGCGGCTGATAAAACCCGATTGCTCTACTGACGTCTAACCCCTGGTTAGCTTAGTTGGTAGAGCACTCCACCTGTAATGGAGAGGTCCCGGGTTCGATACCCGGACCAGGCGGATTTTTTCGGTCGCGCACCAGTCACCTAGCTGTGTTTGGAGATCCGTGTTTGTCATTTGTCCCTCTTGTTCCCCTTCTACAGGGATTATTTTCTTCATTTCATAACTGCTTGGCATGTCGATTGGACGGGGCCACCAGTCCGAAGAGCCCCACGACTTCCGTAGGATAGTTACCTTTTCTGGCGGTATATCCAAAGTGTCGAGCCTTACAGGTGCCACATGCGATGGCGTTGATGTAGAAAATAACTTGTTAAGGTGGACTTCAAGAACACATAAAAGGGCCCGATGTAAAAGGAATTAACTGCAACAAGGCATTCCCATTTCTTCCGTTCTTCACCGTCGCGACACCTTGCAGTTCACTGTGATAGGTGTATGTGTTCTCCGGTTTTCACGAAAATGAAGGTTTTAGCACGTCACCACAACAAAGTGACGAGACAAATTTACGAGGATTTTTTTTATCACTTGCTACCTACGGGCGCGCACTTGTGTGGGTTTGACTTTGGCGAACGACGAAGTTGCTTTTATCAAGAAATTCGGCAGATCTGTTTAAATGTTTGCAGGCGTGCATCAAGGGGTTTGATTATCTTTTATCTATAATGTTTGTTTTAAGTTTTCCTTTCTGTTTCTTGCAGGTATAAACTTCAGTTGCCGGTCAGCGTCGTATTAGATCACTACTCGTTCTGTCCTTCGTATATTTTGCTCTGTTTTTAAGTTTTCATAACGCACCGACTAGACCAACTTGATGCCTTGTTGCATATCTATTTATTAGTCTGCGTCCAATGAAAGTACGGCAGTGACCGATAAGAACGCCAAAGAGCGAAAACGAAGGGACGTGAACATGATGCGCCTTACGTTTCTTCAGCGGTCAGTTGTTAGAGATTATGTTCGACAATATATATATATATATGGTGGAAAATGAGAAGGTGAGGTTTTCTCTTTACACTAAGCAGACTTTAAGACAAAAAGAAACAAGATGCCTCACTTACGCAAACATAACTAGACGAGGCTTTCTGCCTGCATGGCTGTCCTAAAACTCGGTGTTCAAAGTGATAAAATTTAAGACCACGATCGCTTCTTCGTAAATATAGATTAAATTTTGATGACAAGAATATCCATATATTTATTCAGCACATATTAATGTCAAATTACAGCCATGTGGGGGTTCATACCCCCCATCCTTCACGCCGCAGATGTGCCAAGCGCCTGCTTGCTGCCTTTCTCCTAGGCATAAGTTTCTTCGACCAGTTTGCGCAAACCGTATGACACGCACTAGAGTTTTATGGAACCGTTTTTCCTCTACGATCGCTCCCGATACAATGGCCAAACGGCGTGAGAAAAATATGCCCTCGTTTCAATCACAAAAATACGACTTCGCTCTACGAAACAGGACGAAGAGGCTTGATGTATGCGCCAAATGAATCGTCTCTCCGTACGTGAGTAGCGACCTGTGAAAGTTTTGCAGAAGAAAAGTGTAATAAACAAAATTTAAAAAAAAATACAGAAAAGTCCTAAGCCTATACTAAAGTGGTTCATATACCCCCTGAACCGATTAAGATGCTACTCTGGGCTGGCAGCCCGACGACAGGGATCGAGGTGTACTGTGTCAAGTCAATGAGTGTTAATTCTAGGGTGCCTTCATGTGCGCTTCGCATAGGGTGATGCCAACTACCTGTTTCCCTTTCCCACACCCTCGTCCACCGCCATTTTGTTCCTCATTGTTTCCCCGTGCACCGGAAAGTGGCCTTTGTGTCCATCGGTCCTCCCATCCGAGGGGGAAAATGCTTATCCTCCCTCCGTGGGTTCCACAACGCTGCTCCGAACTTGTGAGATAAGGTGCTTGTTTCCGGGATCCGAGGGCCAAAATGGCTGCTGGTTTGTCGGCGAGTGGTATTACAAAGGCTTGCATCACCCTAGCAAAGCGCACATGAAGGCTCCCAAGTTAATTCCCAGGTCTAAGAAGCTTAGTTTTTAAGTTGCATTTTGATTTTTTTTTATGTTAAGACACGGTTAGCGCACAAGAAAATATATACATGTTGGGTAAACGAAGATGTCCATATTATCGAGCCATCACTTATTTTAATATAATTACACATTTTCTACTCATCGGCCTCAAGTCGGAATACACATCACTAAGTACTAACCTCACTTTTGCTTCGGTGGTTAGTGGAACTAAGACAGGTTTGTTTTACATAAAATACAATGTAAAATTTTCTTTTAAAAAATGACAACGTACACCACATATAATTATTTATTGCGGTATAGGCAAATAAATTTTAGAAAAAGCGACAGTGAGTACGTTCGGAATAAAATGACTCACAAGAAAGTGCTTTAGTATAGATCGAGCAGTGCTGACCAATTGTTGGTCGTAAACAGGCTTGGAAACATCCTTCAGGTGAAGGTCTGTTGAATAAACGAGCACAAGGTTCAGGTCGCCGAGATCACATTCCGCATGAACATGTCCTCCTGGAGAATAAAACAACAAAATTTTCTTTAAAAAAAAGCTCTGCGATATAGATTAGAGGCACCCTAGTAAAATTCAACAACTAACTGATGAACAAGAAAGAAAAAAAAAAGGTTCCCAGATGTCAATTTTCTTTACTACGAAACACACAAGTACTCAACCGTGCAATGATATTGACTAATAATAGTGTGTCTTAGTCTATATAAGCTCATGGGTACTAATTGTACCCACGTATACTCAGTCTCGCTACCGTCCAAGAAGTTTCGTTGCCGCCGCGAAATGGATCCTTTTCAAGAACCCTCAAGCAACATTGGCCTTCGCTATCTCTCAGGGAGTTGCAGACGAAACCAAACGCGGCAAATCCCGTGCGTTCACATCGGCGGTTTCGAGAAAAAGAACAGGAGAGAGAGCGACATTAGACCGGAGAAATAAAGCGGACGAACGGTTAGGCGTGTTCGTTTCGCCGCGACGAGTTAAAGTTGCTCCCGCGTATGTCAGCTGTATTTAGTTGTATGCAATACCCGATTCCGGCGTTTTTAGAGTTATTTCGTAGACCGCGTTTCCCCGTCCTCTAAGCCCTCCGCAACGAAGAAGCCTCTACTGCGCCTGCGCGCCGATGGCCTTGACTGTCGAGTTCCGGGTGTCGTAGCGGGTTGCGGAAAGCGTTGCGGGACGGCGAAAACGATCTGCGAAGACTCCCTTGGCTTCAAAGAAAGAAATGTGCATACTTTAGTGCATACTAAGACGTCGCCAGCGATATGGGCCCATCGGGACCGCCAATGTCCGCGTCTCTATCCCGCCGTTCCCAAGCGGCCCCAACGCATGGGACCTTTCCCTCTAGGTAATTATACTTACTCTATGCCATTTCTTGGGCACGAAGCGTGTGATTATATCAGAGTCCCTGCCGGGCCCGAATGCAGGCCTCGTATACAGTGCGTGCATACGTGTCCAAACAGTGGTCAATCTTCCCCCTCATTGGCCTCCTGTAGGTATCTACAAGATATAGCACTACGGCTTTGTTTCAAAGATTACGCTTGGCTATGTTACGTTGGCTGTGCTCCAAATCTTGCTCGAGTAGATCCGAGTTACTTCCGCGGATCACACAACGTGATCAAACATAGGGCGACGTTCTACTCTTAGCAAAAGCTAAAAGAGCGACCCCCGGGCTTCCCGTTAAAAGACCTCAAAAGAGAATGACAGAAAAGCTAAGAAAGAAAGCACACAATAGGTTAGGCCTGTACAATTTGCTGCTACAAATGATTAAACAACTTGTTAACTTTTTTTTTTTCTTTTTGGTATTTACGGTGCGCGACGCCGGTATTTTTCTCGAAGATAAAGCTCGAAAACAACTGGGTACAGACCTTGCATGTAGTGATGTATCGCTGCTTCATCGTGTATATTAAACCGCCTAAAATTGTAATATAGCGCAGAGCATATATATCTTCGTGCTGCTTCACATTCTGTCTTATCAGTGCCTTCGCACAATAGTGCAAAACAAATCGAATACATTTTATGAAACACAACGGTTCTTTCAATTTGGATAGGACTGCAGTTATCCCAGCCGTCACGAACCGTTATCTTATTTTTAGTTTGAATAGGTGTTATAATGCGACAGTTCTAGTTATGATCCCTGCACGGACCTTGTTTGCTCGTGGTGGTGTTATCGCACCCTAGCAAGGCCGTGGGAAGAACATCTTGGGAACATCAGCGCCGTCCTGTCCCTGTTTGTTCCTTTATTCTTCGGAGCCGTCCTGTCATGTTTGTTCCTTTGTTCTTCGGAGCCGTCCTGTCATGTTTGTTCCTTTACTCTTGTCCAAGTTTCTTTGCCGCTGTTTATTACCAAGATGTTCACCTCAAACCAACTAACCCAACACGTCACATTGTTGCCGTGGGAAGAGAGTTCCAACTACGGGACAGAACTGTTTATTTCACGTCGTAGCGCGAGCGACCAATGGCGTTGCGCCGCGGGGAGTAGAAAAGGGGGGGGGGGGGGGGGGGGGGGGCGCTGAAACTACCCCCCTCTCTTCAGCTATGTAAGAATGGGAGCTTTGTAGTAGGATAACAACAGCGTATTATAATAATATTCTAGCCGACGCGGAGCTATTTTACGGTCAGATTGTATGATCGACATTTCAGAGAAAACTCCGTCATCGAGAGCTCTTTGTTGCAGTAGGGAATGTCTAAACCGAACAATTTTTTTAAAACATGTAATGCTTCTTAACAAAAGAAAATGAATTCCAGAATTTTGCCTGTCGATCCGTCCGTCCGTCTATTTCCCTCTAAATTTAGCGTTGGAATAAACGCCATTAGACCTATGTACTCGTTGTCACCACGAGAGCCGTAGTTAAAAAAAAATTGGGCTCCTCAGAGAGGAATAATTCCCCATTAATGTGGATAATTAAGTTATATGTAGGTGCATATATTATTCAAGTGTGATCTTAGCTTATCAATACGTACACTTCTCAAACGCTTAAAATATAGGTTCTTCCTCCGACAATCAAACATTCTAAGAACTACTTCGCGTTGCGTACGAACAACGCGCAAAACTTTTTTTTTCTCTCTCTCTAGATGACAACGAGTATAGACCAATTCTGAGTCATCTCTATATCTTGCGAAAACATTTACCTCCCGTGACCTATAGGTAGGATATTCCGTGTTTTCGGAGTTTCTTTCTCTGGAAATTCTGAGGATGTTTTTCGGCGTTTATTTTTCACTAATAATTCGGGGCTTATCGCAGTTTATCTCGGTTCGATTCCCAGTTCTTTGAAATTCTGAGTGAAATTATACAGTGTTTCCAATTTTAAAGCTTCGAAAACAAAATGAGTAAAGTCCGGGACCATGGCCCTTTGTCCTGAAAGAAACTCTCTCTTGTCGGTAGTTCAAGATTTCAAAAGAGACTGATGTGACCTCTCCTCGGGACCAATTACAATGTTCTCTTCTAAAATAGTAAAACGCCGTCTTTATTTTTTTTATTTTTTTTTTTTTTTTGTGTGTGTGTGTGTGTGTGTGTGATTTTAAAATTTGGAGTTTTTTTTTTATTTAAATAATAAATTTGAATTTGCGGAAAATTCACCGGTGAGTGTTTCTCGTAATTTTTCGGATCCATGCAAAACACGGAACATAGAACAGTTCACTTTCCTTCTACATTTAGCGGCGAAATTTACGTCACGTGACGTATACAGCAATATAGTTTCCTAGATAAAGTTAAACGGAAAAAATGGACATCACGTTACAAAATTCACCAATTCAGTTTCCCCATTAATTTTAGTGGGGAAATTATGAAACAATACGCGGTACTTCTTCACTCCGCGAAACGGCTGGTATAATATCATATCAACAAATTTAAACGTCCGCTATCTTAAGAGTGCATTCCCCGCCAATAAGACTTCAAAGATAAAGGTCGTGAGCACATTTTTTTTTTACCTTTCTTTTCAGTGTGAGTCAGAGAAGCGGATGAGTTGCGCAGCACCAGCCCCAGAGCTACTTCGCGTTCCGCCGTCAAGTCTCGTCCACGAGCGTTGCCCTGGAACGCGAGCCGCAGTCCGTCCAGGTCCAGGCCGCAGCGCATGGTCAGGGCGCCCGCTTCCCATCGGGTCGCCTCGCAGTCTCCCCGGCGTTCGATGAAGCTGGCGAGACCTTGCAGGATCCCCGACTCAAACTGGACGCGGAAGTCCCCGGTCCTGTGTTTGACCGTGAAGCCCGGCAGGGGGGCCAGGCTCAAGTTGGCCTTGCCGACCTCCAGCGGCAGGACGACGCCGAGTACCGTGTCCAGGTAGAGGTTAGCTTCGTACACCGACTCGCGGCAGGCACCTGTTCCGGGGAAGACGAGTCGCTCTACGAAGCGCATTCACAAAGTTTGTCCTTACTCCTCGTCGAGCGTCAGCGCATTTTACCGCTTGGGGCGGACGGCGGAATCCACAAACGATGACACGAACGGGCCTTGTCTGCTAGGTGGTACTGATTGGCGTCGCCGCCTGCTAGCATCGCACACTCGTGGGAAGACGCTGCAAGACCAACGTCTCTCCTTTAGATCGTAAGGCCGTAGCGCAGGACTTTCAAAGTACCCCCCAGGGGGCGAGCATGGAGAGGCACAGCAAGGACACGAGTGCATGCTGTGTCAGGGTTCGGCCGGGATTTGAGTTTTCACTCACTGCGTTTCTGCCGTGCGTTGACATAGCATCCGTGACCAATCCGTGCCTGCCGTTGACCCGGAAAGGTGACAGCCCGTAAAGGGCCTGCATGGAACAGGCTATCGCCCTTCCGCGGTGCCACGGCTTTCCTGAGCCAATGGGGATTACTACTATTACGCGTATGGGTGGCTTCAGAATGCTTCGGCTTCTGTTAGATATGGGTTGCTGGCAAGACGCGCTCGATACGACGCAGAGGCAAGATAGGCGACGCTGCAGGGATTCATCATGCATAGCCACAACGAGTTAGAGGGCAATAAACTGATATCCCGGTCACCGGGCAAAAGTGACCCCCACTTGGTTGCCACCATGTTGTACTACCATGTTGTACAATTTTGACCACTAGGCACGTGACCGTACAAAATCCTGAGGCTTTTACGAAAAACTGAGCCGAGATTTGCATTGCGGTCGCTGTAAAAAAAAGTTATAAGTGATTTTCTGAAAATTTCAATGGGAAAATGGCGGCCGATGTAGTTTTCAAACACATGGCGCTCTATGGCACCAGAAACCGAAAACGGGCAAAAATGGGCTCCGTTTTCCCATTGAAATTTTCAGAAAATCACTTATAACTTTTGATTAAGTTATCGGATGGGGCTGAAACTTTGGCATCTGGTTGTGACCTCTAGCTCTACCTTTGGGCGGAGAATGAGCGTTCGGCGATGCCTAGATTATTTTTGCGGTAAAAAAGTCCGTGTAAATTTTCTTTTGTGACACCCTGTATAAAGGAGGCTATGGCAGTAGTAACTGTTCAAAAGCAAAAGCCTAAAGCAAATTTTGCCTCTCACGCACAATCGTCAAAGCATTATTATGATTTTTACTTGGAATCTTTTATATGGGGAAGGCCAGCGAGGGCGCGGAGCGTAGAATTACACGATCAGCATTCTCCTCGGTGCTTGGGTAGTTCGGTAATAGGCCGATTTTCACTGGAGCCGAATTACACTGTCTTCAATTTATGATGGTGTTATATACGGTTCTTACATGCTGGCGGGCGGTACACCGGCGGGGTGTACTGCCCGCCTTTAGCCGCTCGCTTCTGCCTCATCGTTTCTAGGACTGAAATTCGTCGTCCCCTTTAGAACTTGGAAGGAAATTTCAACCAGGCTTGTCTTCACTTTAGACAGTCGAACACTTCAAAATTTTCCAAACAAGGGTTAATTTAGTTTTACCTTACCCAATATTTTTACTACGAGCAACAAAAAGTTTTCCTAAGCTCAAATGTATGCCGTGCTGCGTCGCGAAACCCGCGCGCGTTCTTCGGTTCCCGCTTTTCGGGATTTTTTACACAAAAGCCACTTATATTCGCTACAACCTTTAGGTGACACCAGCTACAACCCCATAATAAACCACGAAGCTATCGCTCATCCAGCCCTCGTCAAAATTGGCTAGGTACTTGTAGGTGCCTAGTAGGGAAGGACGGTTAACTTTCTACTGCGGTTAAAGTTAACCGGTTTCCAGCAAACAGGCCCAGGTACACATTCAATACTTCTTTGTCACCCCTAGGAGTAATGCCATCATGTGAACGCATTATTTCTTAACAGAAATAATCTCAAATTATAGTAAACCTGGCGCCCTCTGGTTTATATGTGCAAGTCACGGCTGTCGACAGGATCTGATTCTTCTCGGATGGTGGGCGCCAACGCTTGGAGAGACAACCGTGTCAGGGGTGCTAGTTTCAAAAACCCAAAGCCCTTTCTCAGACACCCAGTTAGGTCAAAAGCATTCAATGCTTTCATTATTTGCGTCACAACCATGCCGAGCTAGGTAAGAAATATTCCCTGCGCTACGGACGACGCAGCTGAAGCGAGAAGCGTGTTGACACGCGACGCGACAGCGTGGCATTGACAAGAAGCAACGCAGCAGCTGGTCTGAAAGGACAATTCAACTTGACAGTTGGCCAACTCTGCGGCAACTGCCGTTTTCGAAACTCTTTTTTCGAACACTTTTTCACGCCGAAGGCTAAAGCCACCAAGAAGGAAAGATCTCATATTTTAACGCTACCAATGCATAAGCTCACATTTGCCTTCCGCCCCCACCGTTGCTCTGAGGGCTGAGTGCTTTACTGCGCGTATACTCACTCATAAAAAACAGACATATTATGATAGCCCTTTGTAGGCAAGGCGCCTGGATTTTATCCTGCATTATGACATTTCAAGCCCTCAGGATATGTTCACTGTTCGGCGTACAACGTTGCCAAGTGATGACTTTACCCAATATTATTTAGAAAGTGCCTATTACAGCCTAGTCTCTTAGAAGACGAAGTCACTGAGGCAGCTTATCTGCTAAAATGCAAAATTATATATATTCCAAGAATTAGAGTCACTGAGGAATTATAGATGTGTAACCGTTCAAAGTTCTAATGCTAAAGTGATACTTTGTTTCTTAATCCTAAGTGTAAGAGTGAATATATTGCCTCACTGCACCCAATTCAGCGCCCTCGCTGTGTTATTTTATTCTCACGCAAAAGCTAAAAACAACAGTATGGTGAAAGCTCCGTGGCCGGGAGCGTGATGACGTGCTGAAAAGAGGCGCATAACTGGTTCAACGAGGACGTGGCTTCCACTCTAATCTCAGCCTAGGGATGAACGGAGTATAATATACTGTCTAATTTGAAAAATAGATGCGATATTGTGTTACTCAGTGATGTTTGTATGCACTTAGCCCCAATGTGTACTGAAATCAGTGGTTTACAAAACGCAGCAACATGCCGTCATAGAATGAAGTAAAAAGCATGTGGGCATAATCAATCTTCTTGATTCCATTTACCGCCAAGTCATAGCACCATCTTACCCTGAAACAATATCTTTGTTCTTAGGCTAAAACAGGCTTGTTAGTCTTGGGATAAAATTATTCATGCATTTTTTTTTTTTTTTAGCCAGATCGACACTAACTAGGTAAATTAGTACAGTGATATCTCGTTAATATGGACACTTCCGCTCCCCTGAAAATTGTCCATAATGTGAGTTGTCCAAAATAACGAGACAAAAATACACGTAGTTTCACAGTTTGTCCCCGAAAATGGTGTCCATATAGCGGGGTATCCATATTAACGCGGTTTGTTTCTATTCGCACAAAAAAAAAGTGCACCTACCGAAAGAGAAAAACCCAAGCAGAACCACAAGGATATTCATCTCAGCGAAGCAAAGTAGTGGGTGGTTAAACGGACGAACAGGTGAGTACAAGTGAGGGAAATCTCACTGATTTCCCTGACTCTTATAGCGGACGCAAGCAATGTGTGACGCGTTTGAGTCCAAAGACCTGCCATCTGGCAGATATCATCTGGCTCCGTGAGAACGGCCACTGCTGTGGTGGCAAAACCTTCTCGCCAAGGACACAATTGAAGTGCAGTTTTTGCTTGCGGTCTCACATCGCACGAGTTAAGTAAAAAACCCGAGTCCCTGGTTAATTTCACTCGTTTCGTGCGTTTAGTCCGGTGGTCCTCAAATGGGGGCCCGCAGACCATTCGGGGTCCGCGAAGGCATTCTAGGGATGCGCGAATCCCAGCCTTATCAGTCAAGCCCGGAAATGAAAGTTGTCTTTTCTCAGACTGAGAAAAAACTTTCCAATTTTCGGGTGCGTTTTCTTGTATATACGTCAATAAGAGAAGTTTACTTTCCACTAGCCCTTAGTTATATCTGTGTATTAAATCACTATCATAATTAGCCTATACTTTCCCATCCCCACACCACAAACGGGGTCCTCCATCATCTCCGCCGATCCACAAGGGGTCCGCGAAACATCGATGATTGAGAACCACTGATTTAGTCGATAAGCTTTCAGAGCGTCTCCGAGTAAAGTCTGCGCAAATTAGCGTGTTTTTTTTTTTTTTCTTCTTCTTCTTGTGGAGAATTTTAACATTTTTCACAGGCGCATTGTCGTCTCACACGGTTTTGACAAAGTTATTTATGAAAATTGAAGCGAATGAAACACCCCACAATATGAACGCTATCTGTTAATTGTCAATGAAAGTACAGCATTGTGAGCTTTAATTCGCTTTAATTCGATAAATCCTCCAAAGCACGAAGTCACTAGGACTTCGTGCTTTGGATGGTTTATCTTTCTTAAAACTCCGAGCCGGGGGGGGGGGGGGGGGGGGGGGGGGGTGCGGGGAAGGGGGGGGGGGGGGATATCACCACCTTTCCACCTTTTTGCAGGTTCGGTCCTTTTGTGTACCTGATTTTAACGTTTGCCAAAAACGGACTGTTTTATTTGAGCTTCAGTTCAAGAAAACAGGACCTGACCACGCTATTCCCCAACGTACAGGGAACATGCGACTGGCTTGATTACTTGGAGCACATCCACCGATAAAAGAAGGAAACTAGAGAGGGGTTTCCCAAGAAGGGAGCAACCTCGCAGAGCACGGCCGGCTGTGCTCCGGGTCATCAAAAAGAAAGCTGTAGCTAAAGACATATTTCTTTCCGTAAAGTTGTTGTTTTTGTTTGTTTGTTTGTTTTTTATGCAAGGGTAATTCTAAGTAGAGGTTTTCGGTGTTCCTTGATTTACTTGAACTCTCGGGGATTACTTTTTGGAGTACATCGTTATATACCTCAGGAAAAACAAAAAAAAAGAAAAGAAAAGGAAGTTTTGCGCATTGTTCATACACCGCGCGAAGTAGTTCTTACAAGAATTGGTTTTTGGAGGAAGAAGCAATGCTTTTGAGGTTTGAAACGGTGGACGCCCTGATAAGATAACATATATCGATATAAAAGTCGGCGGGAAATCCGGCGGCTCTGATTGGCCGGTGCCAAGGTCAAGTGCGGCGTTGGCCAATCACGGCAGCTAAACATTTCTCACCGACTTTTTCACCAAGTGTAC